TACGCGGCCGCGTTGAAGGGGGGCCCCGCCGATCGGCGCAGCTTCCTCGGGCGCGGAGAACAGGTGCGTTTCGACGTTGGCAGGGCGAAGCTCTGCGTGGGCGTCAGCGCCGACCTCGACGGGCCCATCGCGGCGGGGCACGCTGGCCCCCAACTCGGTGGAGCTGCGGCGGTGCGATTGCTGAGGGCCTCGGTCTGAGCGTCTGCGCTCGGACTGCAGAGGGCTTAGTGGGTCCACCCCGAACGGGGGCCTCGCCGAGATGATGGCCAGACAGAAGCGGAAGTTGCGAGAGGCCCTGAACGGCGTCGGCGAGATGAGCTGGGGGCAGTTGCAGTGCCTTCGGGTGGCGGCCCTCGCCGCTGCGAAGAAACGCAGGCCCGCCCGGGTCGGCGAAGCTTTGTCGGCGCGCGCCAACTGGGTTCAGGGGCAGGAGGCGCGCGGCGGCGGCAGAGCGCCTCGCGGGCGGGCCCAGGCGCGACAGCGACGCGCGCGGCTCGGGCATCGCCGCAGCGGGCGTGGTGGAGTACATGGGCGCCAAGGCCAAGCAGTGGCAGTTGAAGTGGCGGACCTGCTTCGGCAGGAGGGGCGCCCCGCGGCGGCTGGGGCGTTCTCGCGAGGTGGCAGGCGAGGAGGGCGGGGCGCCGATCGCCGTCGAGAGGCCCGATCGCGCGATCGACGCTATTGTAAAGAGCAGAGCGTAGGGCGTTGAGCAGACGGGGGCGCATGCTCTCAAGTGGCTCCCACCGCCGGCGCGCGAGGTGCTCGGGCGCATCGTCGAGGGGGTGGGGCGCGTCGGCGCGTGGCCATGGTAGATGATGGTCGCGCTGGCCAGCTTGCTGAGGAGGGGCGCAGGAGAGGATCGGGCGATCTGTCTTCTCGCAGAGGTGGTCATGCTATTGTCGAATGTGCGCAGTGAGTGCACTGTCGAGTGGGTCATCAGCATGGCCGGCAGGTGGGGCGCCGCGATCGCGGGCAACGGCGCTCTCAAGAAGGCTCTGTCCGATCGTTCTCCGACGAAGTGGTGGGGTGGGTGCCCGTGAAGATCTACGCGGCCACTGCCCTGTGGGACCTTTCGGAGTTCGACGGCGCGCTCGAGCCCGTCCTGATCTTGGACGAGGGGCTCGTGCTCGGCACCCCAGCCCGCGCGTTGCTTCTGGGAATGCTGCGCCACCTGAGCGCGCGCGGGGGGGCCGGCGCGCGCGGGGCCGATCGCGCCCGACAGGTCCTTCGGTGCCTCGAGACTTGCAAAAGCAGGGCCCTGGAGACCTCCGGTTCATGGCGGTTCCATCCGGTTCCGCCGGTTCGGTTCGACATCGATTTGGGTTCGGTTCGGTTCGGTTCAAAAGTGGGTATCGTTCGGTTCCTGTTCGGTTCGGTTTCTGTTGAAAAATGCGGTTCGCGCCGGTTCGGTTCGGCCAGGCTCGGTTCGGTCAGTTCGGTTCGGTTCTTGAGCCTTCCTGCCCTCCTCTTTGTTTAGTGTTCCGCATGGTAGCACGATGGCTGTCAGTCCCTGGGAGGCCTCGCGAGGTCTTTGGGACGCCTTTGGAAGGCAGCCAGGAGCGTCCCAAACCCGCTGACAACTTCGGGTCTCTCACGCCTCCGCCGTCGTCGCGGCAGGCCTGCCGCAGATCGGGGGAGTCATCGGTTTCGACGCCCCTCTCGAGAGATCGATGGTCGCTACGATGGCCGAGGAAGCGCCAACGTGGGTGAAAACGCGCGGACTCGCGACAGTCAAGTCAACTCTGGTCGAGGAGCCTATGGAGGCACCCCGCTCCGCAAGCGGAGACGGAGGGCGTGAGACACTACGGCAACAAAGCGCGCACGCAAAATAGAAACAATGGTGGGTCTGGCAACATTTTAAATATGTGTGTGTATATACATACACACATATATATATACATACAATGTGATTGTCTTCTTATTCAGTGTGTTGCCGATCAGCGCGGGCCCTCGCAACCCGTCCCCCCTACGTAATAGATCATGGCTGTATTTGGCGCCTGTTTCAAGCAGGTGGAGTCTCCCCAATTGGACGCACTGTTGCATGCAGTCGCATTGAGCAGAGGTCTGGAAGCAGACCCCCCCTCCGGCCAATGTCGAAACGCGGGATAAGAAAATGTTCGCTACTGCATCAGGTATTCTACATAACATCAAGAATTCTTTACGCTTCGCGTATCCCCACCAGCCCATCTCACAACAGCAACTCTTGCGAAACATGCCGGCAGTCGTGTTTTTTCGCGCGTGTGTCCGCTTGGGCCCGCATATCTCCCCTGTTCCTTCTTCATCCCGCCTCCTTGTACATCCTCCTTGTGGGGGGAGCGGGAGAAGGACGAGGCGGAGGAGGAGGGAGAGAAAGCGCTCCTCGTGGTTTGAGTCGTTTGGGGTTTGTCGTCCTGGTGTGAGTCGTTCGGGCCCTTCTTCCTGGTGTGAGTCGTTCGGGCTCTTCGTGGTGTGAGTCGTTCGGGCTCTTCGTCCTGGTGTGAGTCGTTCGGGCTTCTCGTGGTGTGAGTTGTTCGGGCCCCTCGTCCTGGTGTGAGTCGTTCGGGCCCCTCCTCCTGGTGTGACTCGTTCGGGCTCCTCGTGGTGTGAGTCGTTCGGGGCCCTCGTCGTGGTGTGAGTCGTTCGGGCTCCTCGTGGTGTGAGTCGTTCGGGCGCCTCGTCCTGGTGTGAGTCGTTCGGGCCCCTCCTTCTGGTGTGAGTCGTTCGGGCTCTTCGTGGTGTGAGTCGTTCGGGCCCCTCGTCCTGGTGTGAGTCGTTCGGGCTCCTCGTGGCGTGAGGCGTTCGGGCACCTCGTCCCCTTTTGGGGCGTCTTGGGGGCCTCTTGGCGGCCCCAGGGGCTTCCAGGAGCGTCTTGGGTGCCTCGGGGGAGCCTCTTGGGGCCTCTTGGGGGCCTCTTGGGGGCATCTTGGAGGCCTCTTGGAGGCCCCTTGGGGGCCTCCTGGGGGCCTCTTGGGGCCATCTTGGGGCCTCTTGGTGCCTCCTGGGCGCTTCTTGGGGCCATCTTGGAGGGAATCGATCCAAGAAGAGGGGAGCTTTAATGAGCGGTGCCCCCTCAGAAGGGCAAAATGAGCCCAAAACCTTCTTAAAATCAATGATTTTGCCTGGAAAGAAGAGGGGAGCTTTAATGAGCGCTGCCCCCTCAGAAGGCCAAAATGGGGCCAAAACCGTAGTAAAATCAATGATTTTGGCTTCAAAGAAGAGGAGAGGGTTTTTTCTGCCTCCCCCCGTCGGGGCCAGAATCCTCGTGAGGGGTGTCGTTTTTTAGCCCTCCCAGGAGTCGAACAAGACCCCTCCGGCCACCCGCGAAAGGACCTCTCCAGGTCCAGGGGGAGGGGGTAGGGGGAGGGGTAAACCCCTCCCCGAAGGGGAAGAAGGGGGGTTGAGAACAGAGAGAGCTCCCTAAACCACTCACGCCCAAAGGGCTGGTGGGATTTTCCAGCCGCTTCCAGGGGAAACGCCCCTGGCCGCGGATAACATTAGTTAGATTCGTCCCGTACAGTGGAAACCCACGCCAAGAAACACCCTGCTTGCCTTCAGGGTGCCCTGGGTTTCTTGGGCTTCGAGGGGGTTGCTATGGAAAGCGCGAGGCTTCCGCACCAAAGAACAAGGGGCGTCCTGGGGTCTCAGGGTTGGATTTCTTGTGGAAGGTTTCTTGTGGTCGAGCTCCTATTGTAGTCTTCTCGCAGAAAGGAACCGATGGCATATCGGTGCATCTGGGCCGCGGTGGGCCTCGGCGTCGACGTTCCGGCCGGGATCCAATGCAGAACCCGCGCAGAGGTACCTTTGTGAGAACTCATGCCGCGGACTTCTCAGAAGCCCTCTGGCTTTCTGAGAAGTCTGCTTTCTGTCTTCGGGGGAGGTTTAGGAAACTTTTCAGAAGGCCGGTGAACTCACGAGCCTTCTGAGAAGGCCCGCCCTTGCTCACTTCCCTCCAGGCGCGCCGCCTACACACGCAACGGTCCAACACACAGCCAACCTGACACGGGACAGATATTCAAAGCAACGTGCCCTTTTTGCTTGCACCGTCGCCCTGCTTCTTCCCAACATCCCCAGCTTTCTGAACCACTTCCCAGCATTGCGCACCCTGACATCCTTCAGTTCAGCGATCTGGCCCTTGAGCGTCTCCATGGCGACTGGGGAGGCGAAGATTACTGAACTGACGGATTTCGGTGTCCTGGCATACCGAAGTCCATCAGTTCAGTACTTAGTCCTCGCCTCCCAAGTCGCCATGGAGACGCTCAGGGGCTAGATCGCTGCGCTGAAGGATCACAGGGGGCGTAAGCATGCCGCCCAGAGCTGACGAGCTCCGTCCGCACATCGGGCGGCACCGGCTTCCTGTTTCGGGGGGGGGTGCGCTCCCTCCAGTCCACGTTAGCGCGTGCCCCGGCCCACCTTCTCGGACTTCGGACCCTGCCTCCGCCCCACTCCTCCCTCGCCTCTCGTCCCTCCTCCCTCCCCTTTGTTCCTCCCTCCCTCCCCTTCCATCCTGCTTCCTCCGCGCTCCTCCCTCCTCCCCCCGCCCTCCTCGTCGTCGTCACCGCCGCTGTCCTCCGTGCTCCTGGCTGCCCTGCTGCGCCAGTGCGGAGAGGCAACACGCGCCGTGCTCAAGACGTCCGTGCCAACATGCTGCGTGTTGGCTCAGCGTATTGGCCCACGTTTAGCAGGCCAGCCACAACTGGGGGAGCTGTGGTCCTTCCCCCCCTGGGGGACCCATCGATTTCGACACCCCTCTCGAGAGATCGTCGATGCGAAGGGTTCCCCCAGGGGGGTGAGGACCACAGCTCCCCCAGTTCTGGCTGGTCGGTTTTGGCAGACGTATCGCGTCACATCCACGTCTTCGGTCTGCGTGTCGAGCTCCGTATCAGTGCGCCACGTGCTGCGTGCTGCGTATCGGGGCAGCTGTGCTCGTGCCCGACACGAAGGGCTTCCCGGCCGTGCCGTGACGACGGCTCTTCCCCGCCGGCGCTGGCCGGCGCCGCCGTCGAAGATCCCTCGGCGCCGAGGGCCTCAGCGTGCTCTACGCCGTGGACGCGAAGCGGCGCGCCGACGGCGGGAGCCTCGCGCCGGGCTGGGTGCGGCAGGGCCTGGGCCTGCGGGCGGCGACCAGGCTCGGGAGCGTGAAGGCGCGCTCCGCCTGCCGCCGCGCTGCCGCCGCTGCCCTGCTCTGCATCCTCGGGGGGCCTTTTTCTTCGCCATGCGATGGGGGTGCGACTCACCCGCAGCGTCGGCAATCGCACGCGCGCATGCGAACAGCAAGTCAAGGTGCCCGTGCAGGCCTCCCGCCAGCGAGCCCACGAGTTCGCCCGGGTTGTAAGGAAGCCCGAGTTGAGAAAGATAGCAAGCGCAGCCATTCGGGGGGCCTCTCCCCGTCCTGGAGGTGGGCGTCTTCTCTTGTGCTCCGACGTGTGTTCGATGCGGATTCGACGTGGATTCGACACGGAGGCCTCGAAGCGGATTCGGCACGGGTTCGGCTCGGATGCGTCGTGGGTCGCGGCGCGACGGGACGGGCAGGGTCCCCCGAAGGTGCAACACAGCGCTGCCGTCACCCGTCGCTCAGGGGCAACGTTAAGGCGGGACAGGATCAGGGGGGGATGCACCGACCCTCTATCGCCCATTCATCGCCGATGGGGGCCCGATGGCCCACCTCACCCAGGAGCATGCGGATTCGCTATCGGAGGCCTATCGCCGATCTACCGGCGATGTATCGACGATTCCAGGTCGATGTTTCGCCCCCTGAGCCGCTCCCCCCCTCACGTTGCCCCTTAGCTCCCCCGCCGCCGCGCTGTCGCCGCTGCCGTCGCCCGTCGCTGGCGACGAGGCCGCCGCCGCCGTCACCGCCGCCGTCGCCGTCGTCGGCGCCGTCGGCGGGAAAGCGCTGGAGCTCTTCCTGTTGCCAACCCCTCTGCGTCTGGGGGGTCCACCCGATGGGCCCCCGAGGCTGCCAGGGATCGCTTCGGTGAGGGTGGGGTCCTGCCAGCATGGGCCCAGGAGGGGATGTATTTTGATGTGCGGCGCCGCCGCCGCCGTCGTCGCCGTCGCCGCCGCCGCCGCCGCCGTCGTCGCCGCAGCCGCAGCCGCCGCCGTCGTCGTCGTCGTCGTCGTCGTCGTCGTCGTCGTCGTCGTCGTCGTCGTCGTCGTCGTCGGCGTCGTCGGCGTCGTCGTCGAGGTGTTAGGACGACAGGGCGCGCCGCCCGGCGCGCCCCCCTTCAAACGTGGGGTGAGGGGGGCGGTCAGAGCTCTCGGGCGGTCTCCCAGGGTTTCTGCGACTCCGAGGCGGGGATTTGTCCATACCCACCGACTGGTGGATCGATTTCTGTGGACCTCGCCAGGCGGTAGACATGTATGTGTTCGGGCTCCCTGATCCAAAACTATACCTGAATATTCACCGCTCGCTGAGGTCCCAGGACATCGGTTCCCGAGGTGGTGGTTATGGATAAATCCCCGCCTCGCATCGAACGGCCTCCGGATAGTTCTCCATGGGAGTCCTCGGCGATTCTGGGGGTTTCCCAGGTGGCCCTGGGGGGCCTCCGAAGGTGTTCGGGCCGTTGCAGGAGTCTTCCGAAGGTCTGGGGGAGTCAATGCGTGCCCGTGGGGTCGCAGACGCAGTTGTCATCGTTGTCCTCTCTGGTGAGGGAGGCTGTTGTTCGGCAGCTTGGGAGGTCTGTGTGAGTAGCCAAGGTTTCTGCTGGAGGATTTCGAAAGTTTCAAAGGTGCTCGACGGTCTCCAGAGGGTGAGAAAGAGTTGTGGAGGTGCTTTTTGGATTTCCTTGGGGATCCCTCGCCGCCAAGGCTGGGTCCGCTTCGAAATTCTAGCCAGAGCATGCTCCAGGAGAGGCAGGGCCCCTTTTGGCCAGATCGAGCCGATTCGATGCCGACTTCGGCTAGCTCGGTTCGATTCTATGTCAATTTCCGACGATTCTGCACGGCCCGATGCGTACACGGTGGAGTTGCGTATTCCGGCGCGGCTGATTCGGTTCGATTCCGAATCCGTGCCGAAGCGTTCCGACTCGGCACTCGACGCACGTTCCGATCCCATCATACTTGTCGGTTCGATGGCCACTGCACTTGGACAGGGATATTTGGGATAGTTTCTGAGGTAAGCCTGGAGGCCGATCCCAGTGGTGTGCCCTGTTGTGGGTTGGCGACGGCGCTCGCTTCGAGCGAGAACGACAGAAGACGACGAGGCAGAGAATGATTGGGCGGATGTTGAGAAGGACTAGGTGGGGGAGGAGACGTGGAGGAGGCTGGGTAAGGGCAGGATGAGGGTCTGGAGGAGGAGGAAGAGGACGGGGTAGAGTTAGTGTAGGAGGAGAATGACGAGACTGAAGAGGTACATGGCACATGAGCAGTATACGCCGTCTGAGAAGGATGTACACGAGGAGAAGGCAGAGGTGGAGAGTGAAGAGGGGGAGGAGAAGGGGTAGGTAGAGTAGCCAGTGCAACGACCGCTGCCGCGGCTACGGCCATCGGAGTTGCTGCTGGAACTTGTGATGATGTGGGTACCGCTTGTGCTACAGTATCACCGTCACCGCAATTACTTCCAATCGCCCGCGTGCTCCGACTCGAGCTGTGTCCCTCCTTGCACTCACCACTTACCCAGACTCCTGATATTATTTCTGCTCGTGCTTGAACTCCAGCTTCTAACTTCTAAGTACGTCCACCCTTTCTCTTGTGCATGCCTCTCGTCAGGCGCGTGGCAATGCTCCGCCCCCGCTGCAGCTCCTACTCCCGCTCGCCCTCCTACTTCTTTTCCCCCTCGGCAGTTGCACGTCTTCCAGACTTCCGTCGCCCTCGTGCTGCTTCTCCCCCTCCTCCTCCTCCTCCTCCTCCTCCTCCTCCTCCTCCTCCTCCTCCTCCTCCTCCTCCTTCCCCCTCGGCAGTTGAACGCATTCCAGAGCCCAGATGCGCCGACCGGCAAGAACGTGGTGGCCGTTTACTCCGGGGACCTGGCCAGAATCGCACTCCGCGAGGTGCCAGGCGGGCGGCAAGCTGGGGCGGGCGCGAGCGGGAGAGGGGGGGGGGCGGGGGACGAAGGGGTCGAGGAGGACGATCAGCTTGACTCGGATGGGAGGGAGGGGGGAGGGAGGGGGTCGAGGCAAGAGTGTCGGACTCAAATATCATTCATGCCTGTGTCAGCACTGTGAGCATGTTATCCAGCAGTTGTATGTTTACAATGTTGCATTGGCGTTTCGCTCCATGCACCTTGACCCTCCAAGTTTTCGGAACGGAGAAAAATCGGAGCGTGCAAACGCGGTTCATACTCCGATTTCTTTTCTTATTTTACGTTTCTCTAATTTTTTAGTGTCCGCCCCCCGTCTCATATCCCGCGTAGTGGCAGCGAACGTGTGCCTGAGATCGCACAGCGTTCTGATGGAGCTGCTGTCGCAGTTCGCTGTCCTGCCAGAATCTTCGGACCGTCTGCAATCCGATTACATATCTTCTTGGACTTTTCCCGTGCCCCCTTCTCGAGCCTTCTCCTTGATCGCAGCACCTGGGCATCGGCCTCTCCTCTCCCTCTCCTCCCCGCCTGCAGGACCTGGGCATGGGGCCCCGCGTGCGTTGGTAATACAGCCGGCCGGATTAGTAGGTCGACCTTGCCAGGTCAAGGTACCCTTGTATCCTGTGTCTCGCGACCTATGCTTTCTTACATTCCTATGGCAGCGTGCCCCTCGGAAAGGGTCTTGAGTCCTCTCGCGTGTCCTCCCCAATCAAGTCCGACTGTACGCCCCAAGAGTTGCGTGCGTCCTCGTGCGTCCCGGCCTCCTCTCGCTCTCCGTCCCCGCTGTCTCCCACCTGCTGCCCAGCCTCTCCAGGGGACCCGCTATGATTGTGGAGGACGATCAATGGAGAAGCATGTTGCCAAATAACTTCCAGATGTCTTAAACATGTAAACAACATGTTTTAAACTTACGAACACATGCTTAATCCATGTTCATAACATTTTTTCTAGCATCTTTAACACACTTTAAACTCAAGGATAGGACTGTTAGGGTGTCCATTGTCGTGGCATCCACAACGCTATGAAGTGGTCCGACTCTCCGCGGCAATGCGTCGCGCACGCCCGACGTCGCCAGTCCAGATTTCTGACGTCTTGCTTTCGTCAATACGCGGCCCCCCGACACGATTTCCCGATTCGATGCTGACTTATCCTGCAGTTGAAGGCGTTGGATGTCTGGGAGTGCGGATGCCTGGGCATCGCCTCGGTCTCGGCGTCGCAGTATTGCCCAGACTGGCTACATCCATCCAGGGCCCCCAAAGAGTAGGCCTATCACTTGGGTGCTTCGACCTTGCGCGGGGAGCCTACGCACAGAACCTGGTGCACAGGGTATTGTCCTGGTGAAAAGGGCAAGTGTCGGCGCCAGGGCAGATCCGCGGTCATGGCGCAGTGGACGTATGACGTGACGTCGCCCTTTGGGACTTGGGAGGTTCTGCATCCCACGTGGCGGACGTAGTCGTGCGGCTTACGTCACGCGACCATGGCGCAGTGTGCCGCGTGCGGCCGGTCGTGCTTTGATGGATGCTCCGCGCTGCGCTCCGCACGCCAGCCCTGTCCCTCCCGAGCGCTGCACGACTGGACGAGTGCCCCCGCGCGCTCGCGCCGCCACTGCGCCCTCTCTTCCACTCCTTCGCAGAAGAGCGGCAGCCCCTCCCGCCCTCCCCCGCGACTGGCACTTCCTGTGGCCCGTTGGGGTTTCTTGTGGCTCGCTGGGGCTTTCCGGGGTCCGGCGTTCGTGCGTGCTGGCCTTTCCGCGGCCCGCTGGGGCTTTCTGGGGCCCGGTGTTCGCGTGGCCTCCTCGGAAGACGAGCGATCCTAGGATCTGGACATAAAAGGGCTCCCTTGTTGATGGACATTCAGCCAGCTGGAAGGACCTCTTCTTTCCCCCCCCCGGAGACTGCGCACCCGTGCGCACCCGAGGGGGCTGCGACGCCTCGCGGGGGCCGCGCGTCTCGGCACGCTGGGGGCGCTCCGCCAGACCCACCCTGTAGCCCAGAGGGCGGCGACGGCGGCTCCCGCATCGCTGGAGCCCCCAGCGAGGCAGCGTGCAGTGAAGACGCTGAAGGTGATCGTTTTCTTATTCATTGTTTTTCCGATCGGCGCGGGCCCTCGCACCCCCCCTCCCCCCCCTGTGGAGTAGGTCTTGGCTGTTTTTGGCGCCTGTTTCAAGCAGGTGGAGTCCCTCCTCCATAAGACGCACAGTTGCAAATAGTCGCATTAAGCAGAGGTCCAGAGCTTGACCCTTCCTCCCCCCCCTTCCGCCCAATGTCGAAACGCCGAAGAAGAACATGCTCACAAGCATTCGATATCGTCTACTCATCGTGACCCTTCTAGGCCGTCGTCGCCTTCGCTCTCAGGTGCCCTTGGCGTCACTGCCATCTATGCGGAGAGTCCACTTCTGACGCATTTTCGCAGCAACTTTTCCCGCACTTCCTCTCTCTGTCTGTGGCACCCAGCATTCCCTTCTTGAGGGGTCAGAACGCTCCCAAGCGACGGCCTGCTCCGTTGACTGCTCTTGCTTCCAGGCCTTCCAGATCGGGGCCTGACAGCAGTCAAGAGGCGACCATGGCTGCCGCACTCTTATTGGCAAGGGGCCCGCCAGCCCACCTCCCCCGCCAGCTGGAGGGAGAAGCTGGCGAGGTAGGAGCGGCGCGCAGAGGGGGGCCCTGGGCGAGGGTGGACGAGACGAGGAGAGGGAAGAGGAGGGCGGGGGACGCGAAGGGCCGACTCCAGCCACTGACTCGGAGTAGCTGGATGGTGTCGGCCAAGAGTGCAGACATGCCTTTTTTCTCTGGGCCCACGCGGTGCTGCCAGCAAGCGGTTTCGGAACTGCCGCCCGTCTCACAGTGCCAGACCAAGCAGGGACGGGGAGAACAAGCCTCGTTTTAAGTGGCCATGTGCCACCTTTCGTGAGTGAGGCTGCCGAGTATGATCTGTCGCTCGGCCCCCGTCGTTCACTACAGCATTACATGGCTTTCCGCTCGAGCGCGTCCTTGCCTTTACCTTCATCCTTGTCCACCTCTTCGTTGCCACCATCCCCCTCGTCGCCGTCGTCCTCATAGTCGCCGCTCACTTCCTCCTCCTCCTCCTCCTCCTCCTCGTCAGTCCTCGTCTTCCGCCGACACAGGCTCGCCGTCCTTCTCCTTCGGGGTCGGGCCGAACCCCGACTCGGAGGACCTCATGTGCGTGGGGAGCCTGAAGGTCGTCCAGCGGCCAGGGAGGGAGGGGGGGGGGGTAAGTCGCAACGCGGCGCGCCGAGGGGAGCGCCGAGGGGTGGTCCCTCCAGGCGTAGTAGGCGCAGGGGGAGGGGGGACGACGGAAGCGTGGGGAGGGGCTTGGGAGGAAGGGGGTAGGAGGCAGGAGGGGGGGAAAGCAGAAGGGGAGGTCAGAGCGGATGAGAGGAACAAAAAGGAGGACAAGGAGGAGGAGGAGGAGGAGGAGCAGGAGAAGGAGGAGGAAGAGGAGAAGGAGGAGGAGGATGAGGAGGAGGAGGAGGAGAGGAAGGGGGGGAGAGCGGAGGAGGAGGAGGAGGATGAGGAGGAGGAGGGGGAGGAGGAGGAGGAGGTGGATCTATAGGATGAGGAGGAGGGGGATGTACGGTGGTGGTTGGCTGGGGGAGACCAGGGGCTGTCGGCGGTAGGAGGAGAGATGAGTGAGGGGGATGGGGAGTGTACTGAAACCTCTGTGGTTTTTGCCTGAAGTGGACGGAGCGGTCACAGTCTTTCCTGATTGTGCTAGCTCGATCGCGTGTGCTAGGAATGCCTCTAAAGCGCTCAGCTTAATGAATCCCAATCGCCATTGTTGGGAGCGCTGGTGGCAGAAGCATGGCGATAGCGCGACTGTCAATTACTCTGGCGGAGGGACCCCACATGAGAATATGTTCAGCTTGCCCTTAGCCCTTTCCCCCGCCCTGGCAGACACCCTCCTCTCGCCCTTTGCTCTGCCCTCTCCTCCTCTTCCTCCTTCTATTTATCCTCCTCCTCCTCCTTCTCCATCTCATCATCGTCGCCCTCTCCCAATTCCTTCCCCGTCGTCATCCTTCCCCTGCTTCTTCTCCATGTGCTCCCCCCTTCCCCCTGGTCGGGGCAAGCAAGGCGATTTCCCTCGGTGCCGTCGCCGCCTCGGCCAGCGCGCGCATTCGCCGACGGCTGGTTCGCGAAGCCTTTGGGACAGCTCCGCGGGCCATGCCTTTGGGACAACCCCGCGGGCCGTTGGGGCGCGGGGGCAGGCCGTCGGGACAACCCCGCGGGCCAGGCCGTCGGGACAACCCCGCGGGCCAGACCGTTGGGACAACCCCGCGGGCCTCTAGCTCCGCGCCGCGGCGCTCATGCGGGAGGCAACACGAAGCCAAGCTCCGCGGCAAGCTGCTCGGCCTCATACCTGGAGGTCTTCGCTTTCTCATCGAACTTCTTGCGCGCCTCCAGCAAGGACGCCGGCGGCCCGCGCTCAGAAACTCGCGCGAGGGCGGCCGCAGGATCAGCATGTTCCGCATGCGCGTGGTGCGGGAGAACATGACGTAGAGGTGCAGCCAACACTGCTCGTCCGACATGCCCGTGCGGCCAGCGTCCTCGTCCCTCGCGCAGTCGATGGTGACGCCTTTGCGCAGCGTCTGGCCCTGCGACAGCGTGGAGGGGAGGTAAGACGCGTGCGTCAGGGTCAGCCCCCAGCGGCGGACAGTGTGCGCTCCCGAGCTCTGCCGCGTGAGCTCCTGACCGCTGGGCCTGAACATGAGCGAGCTCCTCGCCCGCGCCTCGGCTTCGCCGTGTTCGACGGCGCCTTCGGCGCCCTGCAACAGCAGCAACTCGGCGAACTCCTTGTAGATCGGGGACACCTTGAAGCCGTGGACCCGCAGCGAGATTCCCTGCGGTAGGTAGCGGGGGCGAAAGAGCAGGCCCGGCGCGCACTCCTCGTGGTCCCGCTCGTCGTGCGGGTGAAACTCGAAGGACACGGTGGTGGCCCGTTGCTCCTGCACGAGTCCAAATTTCTTCAACTCCTCCTGCGCGGCCGTGAACCGAACCTCCATGCCGACGTGTGCCGGTAAAACGCTATGGATGTCCCCCGTTTTGTGCATGTTCGGGACGTTCAGGAGGCGTCGGCCCGCGTCTGGATCGCCTTGAATCGCACCGCACTCGTCTACGGCCTGCAGGAAAACGAGGGGGACGCCGAGGCGCTGTGCGTCGCGACGAGCGCGCGTGTTGATCCACTTCGCGAGCGTCTCCCAGTAGATGCCCATGCCGTAGCCGAGTCGAAAGTTGTCGTGCTGGTGCCAAGGGTCCAGGACGCCGTGGTTGTCCGAGGCCAACGTCTTCTCCCAGGCGGACCAGACCTCCGGTGGGAAGGGCTTGCCCCCGCGCGTGCAGCCCAATAGTGCGATCAGAGGGTCCCCATGCTCGAAGCGCTTCGTGCCCTTCAGCTCGAAGACGCAAAGGATCTCACAGATGACCCTGATGGCGTGCTGAATCTCCACCATCGGCGGCTCCGTGTACTTGTATGACACGTCGTCCAGACGCTCGTCCACGTCCGTCAGGAGCGCGATGCAGCTGGTGGGCTTCAGCTGCAGGAAACCGCCGGGGTGCAACACGATGGGGACGCGCCCGAATTTGTGGTGCGGCCTCCTGTAGGTGGACTCCTGCACGTCGTGCGTGTCACTGCGTCCGTGGCAGGCGCGAAGGTCCACCTCGTTGCCAGAGGCTCACGCAGTTGACGAGGCCAGAGGCTCTCGCCATCGCCATCGACAAAATGAAAACCACCTGTGCGGCCAGAGGCTCGCACAGGTGACGAGGCCAGAGGCTCTCGCCGACGCTGGCTGGATGATACAGGAGTCGGTCGCGGCCAGAGGTTCGCAGACCTGACGAGGCCAACAGCTCTTGCCTCGCTTTATGCAATTCTCAGGAACCCAAAAGTGGCGACAGTTACGGGGATGGGATGTCCTGCTCGGATTAATAACATGATCAGCAGGCCCCACAGGGAGGGGGCTCCCGCCTGAAACTTGCTCGCAATTCAGTCAAAGAGGAGGCTCCCGCTTGATGCGTCCTCCAAATTTGGAGCCTCGGGAGCCCAAAAGTGGCGACAGTTACAGGATTCCGCGACAGCCCTCCTCCTCCTCCTCCTCTTCCTCCTCCTCCTCGCCGCCCTCGCTCTCCCCCTCCGTCTCCGCCGGCCGTGGCGACGAGGAGGGCCCTGGGGGCCGAAAAGCCTCGAACCTCGATTCTTGAACTTAGGAGTTCGAACCTCGACGTGAACCCCTTCCTCAGACCTCGGTCTTCAGAATCGGTAGTGTATCGGGCGCAGTTTTTCGTCCGGGGTCAATGTTCGACGGTCCCGGGGCCCCCGCACGGCCGCCAGACGCCAAAATCAAAACGCCGACCCGACATCGACGACGACGATGACAACGAGGGAGCTTCCGCCTGAGACTTCCTCGTAGTTCATTCACAGACGAGGCTCCCGCCTGATACTTCCTCAACATGCAGGCCTGAGGAACCCAAAAGCGACGACAGTTACAGGATGCCGATGACCCGCCTCGGATTCGAAAATGCAATGCGGGCCCCTTGAGAGGGAACTCCCGTCTGAGACTTCCTCGCAATTCACTCACAGACGAGGCTCCCGCCGAATACTTCTTCCATAGTCAGGCCCGAGTAATCCGAAACCGACGACAGCTACAGGATTCCGATGACCCGCCTCGGATTCGAACATGCAATGCGGGCCCCTTGATGGAGGGAACTCTCGTCTAAGACTTCCTCGCAATTCACTCACAGACGAGGCTCCCGCCGGATACTTCTTCCATATTCAGGCCTGAGGGGCCCAAAAGTGACGACAGTTACAGGATGCCGATGACCCGCCTCGGATTCGAAAGTGAAGCGCGGGCCCTTTAGGAAGGGAACTCCCGCCTGAGACTTCCTCGCAATTCACTCACAGACGAGGCTCCCGCCTGATACTTCCTCCATATTCAGGCCTGGGGAGCCCAAAAGTGACAGGCGCCGAATCTTTACAAACTATACAACGAGCCCGCCGCAGGCGCCAATTTTTTGTTAAACCAGTGTGGGTGGGTGTCGGGGTGTGTCGCGGGTGAATTACCGTTCGGCCCCCTCATTCGGATCTCCCCCTCCTCCCCTTTCTGTTCTTCCCTTCCTTGCCCTCCCCATGTCATGCCCGAGTCGCAGCGTAGGAGATATGCCGTGTATATGTATATGTGCGCATGCGTGTGTATAGCCCGCCTTCTTAACCGGAAGAGGCCCGCTCTCGACCCGCCGACCAAAAACAAAGTGTATAGCCCGCCTGACCGCCGCAACCGTTTCACTCAAGGACGCGTCCAGGAGTTTTGTATTCTATGCATGTTCTGATAAACACCCCTTTCTCTCTCATCTGCCATCTAGCCAGGGTCAATCGACCGCCCGATGTTCGCCAGTCGGGCGCTGTATATACAGCGCAGTCGGGCGCTGTATATTGTGCGTCACAGTCGTGATGCGCTTTGTGCTTCTGCTTCGCAGTCGTGTCGCACTCCGTTTTCCGCCGCGCGCTATCGCAACCCGGAGGTGATTTTTTACACCTACAGGCAGGCGCACCGCAAAGCATCGGTCCAATAGCGATCCGGATGCTTTTGCCAACGCGTCTTACAAATGCACGGCTTCTGACCTGACCTGATGTCCGCCAGAACCCGTGCACCCTCGAGTGAGGTCCGCACGACCACCGGATGGCCCCGCCGGGCCCCCCCCCCACGCTCGCAGTGCCCGCGGTGGCGCGCGCCCCCCGCCGACGGGGCGCCGTCCGCCTCCCTGGAGGGGCCGGCGGCTGCCAGAGGCGGGCCTTGTCGCCCCCGATTGCCCTTTCCATCCCCCTTGCCCTCCTCATCCTCTTCCTCTTCCCGCCCTCTTCTCCGCCTCCTCCTCCTCCTCCTCCTCCTCCTCTGTCTTCTCCTCTCTCCTCCTCCTCCTCCTCCTCCTCCTCCTCCTCCTCCTCCTCCTCCTCCTCCTCCTCCTCCTCCTCCTCCTCCTCCTCCTCCTCCTCCCCCCTCCTCCCTCCTTTCTTCTCCCACCCACCTCCTTTCCCTTCCCCTTCCCCTATCCTCTCTCCCTATCGCCCTTCTCTTACTCTCCTCCTCCTCCTCCCCTCCTCCTCCTCCTCCTCCTCCTCCTCCTCCTCTTCATCCTCCTCCTCCGTCTTCTGTCATCTTCCTCCTCCGCCTCCTCCTCCCCGTTCCTCCT